CTAAGCTAATTCGAAAAAGTGAGAAGCTTCAGGATTTCCTCGCAACCCAAGATATCTATTGGAGATTTAATCTGGCAAAGTCCCCATGGTGGGGAGGCATCTACGAGAGGCTGATTCGTGAAATCAAGAAAACCTTATACAAAACCTTGGGAAAATCACACCTATTCTTTGAAGGTTTGGAATCGGTCGTATTGAACATCGAAAGCAACATGAACAACCGTCCGTTAACTTACGTAGAATGTGATGGTGGGGAGGAACAAGTCCTGACGCCAAACATACTTATTCGGGGGGAAAACTCTTACATGTTCGACGATGTTGAAAATGAAGAAGACGAGCTAACCAAGATGCAAAGAAGACTTAGAAAAGCAAAAGATGATGCATGGAAACGATGGAAGCGGGAATATGTGCATAGTTTACTGGAGAGCCAACGAGTCAATAACAAGGTTGTCGAAGTACCACAGATTGGAGACGTTGTCCTGGTAGTGGGAGAAGAGAAGAACAGGGGAGAATGGAAAAAAGGGAAAGTGCTTCGACAAGTTCGTGGAAAAGACGGTGTAGTCAGAGGAGTTGTGCTGTTGCACAAAGGGCATACTATTGAACGACCACTACAGTTGATCTGTCCGCTTGAGATTCACTGCACACCAAACGAACGACACAAAGAAGTTGAAGAAAAGGAATCGGAGAAAGAAAAGAGACCTCAGAGACAAGCCGCAAAGAAAGCAATCAAGAAAATAAATGAACTAACGCAGTTGGAAGAGGACTGAACATTTAATATATACGTTGATATTCGGTTTTGAAGCTATAAAAATTAAACTTTAATTTTTAGAGGAGTGTGTACGGAATAGTGGACCCCCCCATATAAGTGACGTAAGCATGATTGACGTTTGCATGAAAGAAACATTAAGAGCATGTTGATGGGGGGTCGTTTATTATTAGATTATGTGAGACGAGACAAAACAAAACAAGTGATTTGTGAGCGTGAGAATTCTATATTTTTATACAAATAAATGTAATTTGTCTTTGTGATTTCTGTGGTTGTATACCTGTTAACAATTTAACAAGAGAAGTTCGGTATACCCGTACCATTTTTTTGGTTCTTGGACTATCTATTTAGGTAGTCCAAGAACCGAAAAAGTGGTACGGTACCAAAAATCGAGCTTAGTGTAAACGGGGCTTAAAAGGTATGCCAAATTGTACGATTCATAATCCTAGTCCCTAGGATTAGGTAATGTATAAAGTTATGGTAATCTAATCATAATCCTAACGGGTTACAGCTAATCACTAAATTAATCCCAAACTAACCATACTTGAAACCAACGTCCTAACCCTTAACTAAACCCAAATAATCCTAACCCTAATCTAATCCTAAATCTGATCTAATCCGATGCCTAATCTAATCCATACAGTATGCTTAATCTAATCCTTACCGTAAGCCTAATCTAATCCTTACATTTGCCTAATCAAAATTCTAAGCCTTTGAACCCTAATCCAATCCTTATCCTAAACAAAATCTTTACTGTATCCTAATTACCCTTCGTCTGTTCTGTTCATATAGAACTGTATTTTCAACAAGAAATACGACAACACCTCACTACGTGTGTTCTACACAGAAAGCCTACGTTCCTCTGGCAGCGGTGGTGTTTGCAATTGATGGTATTTTACATGAAATCATTTTCAGTTATATTTCTGTAATTGTTAGTGTTGTGTTTGATGTTCATACCCAAATGTACCACACAAGAATTGCCATTGCTAAAATTAAAGATTAATTAAAATAATTTCTTCGGCATTACATTATAGTGTTCTTAGGATAATAAATAGCGAGTTTTAATATGATTACAGGAAGTCAAGCATGTCTAACGTCCAAACCACGCTTTGAATTACTGGTTCGCTAAACAAAACTCTTTGGGTTTCCTTCCCGCTTAAACCTGACCAATGCATGTTTACACTGTCGTTCAAATAGCCTACAACCTTGAATAACTCATATTCTTAGCTACTATTGTTTCCCTTTAAGAAAACACAGAACAAAAGCAACTAAGCATTCGAATTAATATGTATACGAGTTATGTTCTCTTCTATACTTTCATAAACCGAAACAATAGTAACAAGGCATGTGAGGCATTGGATGATGTGAACTGGCTATAAGCAAGCGTTATTCACAGATTTTAGCAGTGATTTACTTCATATTGTTTTAATATTTAATATCTTGACCTGGCCTTGGAATGAGCTTGCTTACGCTGTTTGCTTCATAACTAATTTGTCAGCCAATCAACGAAAGCGCGAGAAGTCTGGCCAAGGTCAGGCCAATAGGCTTTGAAATAAAAACACAGTTTTAAGGGTTCAAAATAGCCAAACACTCAATGCCCACAACTGTTTGCAACCTTTCATCTTTCATCATGTTAATCTATGGAAACCTTCAATTAAAGCCACACAAGTTGATGAACTATGTGAAGTTGAAATTCTGCTTGCTAGTTTTACTCGAAATGCAAAACCCATCTCTCAAACAATATTCTATATATGCTAACAAACATAAGATTTTTTGGAGAAGATCTTTCTTCCTCAAACAATCAGTGTTTTCTTTTGCATTAACTAAAAAAATACTTGTTGCCTAAAATTTAAAATCCCAGCTCTCCTAAAACTAAGGTTTGTGAATCAGTTTTTTGATAAAAAGGGATGCCAACAAGTTTCCCCAAACATTCTGTACAGCAAGTACAGAAAATAAATTCAAAGAAATATCTTCAACAAGAAAACAGAAGGGAAAATATATAAACATAATGTAATCTGAGTTGGAATCGTTTGCAAAATTGGATCGTTTATAGTCTGATTTAAAGTTTATAGACAACAGATTAATTCCAGAAGTTGTCAATAATGACCACAATGTTTTCCGATAAAAGTTAAAACTAATGTTTCCATGAACGTTGGTTTAGCAATTAGGTTTTGGCTAAATGGGTAAATGAACCGAGTCAAACATTCATTGTATATGGGAAGAGCTACTGATAAGTTAAGAGAAATATCAAATTTTCTTGCATCAGAAAACATGAGGGTAAAATATTTATGGCGTGGTGTAATTCGAGTGGTTAAAATGGGAGAGTTTAAAATATTGTGCAAAGGCTCGCAATAGGATCAGTTGTAGTCGAACTTCGTCAGGAAAGTTGGACAGATTAAGATGGAGTCTAAGTTCGTGATTTTCTTGTTGTTTGTCTTTATGGCTGACATGACTGCGGTCGTCAACAGTCAGAGTAAAACTACGGTATAAAGTTTGTCGTGTTATGATATTTGGTGGGTGTAGGTGACCTGTGGTTCTGCAGGTATCCCAGGTATTTCTGGAATTCCAGGAAATCCCGCAAGAGATGGTATACCCGGGTCACGTGGTCCTGCGGGAGCAAAAGGGGAGCCTGGGGAGAGAGGATATGATTACGTAGATCTGGTGAAGTCAAATTGGAAACAATGTGTTTGGAAGAGAAGAGATAACAAGGATTTTATGTATTTAAGTAACAGTTCAAATACAAGAAAGAGGACATTACCGGTATTTCAAAGTCCGGACTGTGAAAGTGCGTTTTTAAAAAGAATCGCAAGCGACCCTTATTATAGTAATGTACAGGTATTTTGAAATCCTGGTAAGTCCAAAGTCGAGCATTTGAACTGACTTCCGTCAAACATTGTAATTTACATAGTGTTATATATTTAAAATCTGATTTTAAGGTTCTAGTACTTTAGTGTCGAGCTGTATGACATCTTCTTTCAATTTCTGTTAATTAATGAGTTTGAGAAGAAGTTCTTACCACCTACAATGGTAGCAGCGTTACAACTATTTTTAATAGACCATTTGTATTATAGACTAAATTTTGATCTAGTTACTAGATCTGATTACTAATTTTGTGATGCTATTTCAAGCTGTGATGAAATTTTTGTCTAGGGCAAGCAATTCTTGATAACTGTTTTACAAATAGACCGGAACTTTTCAATAAAGCATACCCATTGCATATACAAATGAAAACAGACCACTTGGAAGTCATAATTCCGGCAGGAATAAAATTGAAGCCGCTCCGCACTAAAATCAGCTTTAGGGACTACAGAGCACAGAATAAAGTCAAATTTCAAAAGAAGCTTGCCAAGAAAAGTTGGTCTGAAGTTGCGTCGTTGGAAACAGTTGAAGAAGCAACTAAAGTATTGGAGAACACTATCCATAATATGATAGATCAATGTTTTCCAAAGAAAACAGTTACTCTTTCCACTCGTGACCCTCCATGGATGTCTCCACTCTTAAAGTATTTAATAAGAAAAAGATCAAAGGCTAAGTCAAGGAGAAAGCTATCTATTGCGGCAGAATTAACAGAACGAATATCTGGAATAATTTCACATAATCGAACAAAAATGGCAAAGTCCGAGTGTACTGGCACAAGTCAATGGTGGAAAAACGTCGACTTTTTGTCACATAGAAGAAATCGAGCACATATTATACTTGACAACGAGTTCAAAGAAAAGTTGAACGATTACTTTGGAGAGTTATGTTGGGATAGAGACTATGAACAAACAACGTTGATGGAGATAGATACAATCACAATAAAAGCTCCTCAGTTTAGAATAACCCAGGTCAAGAACGCTTTGTTGAAAATAAGGAAAACCGCAACAGGCCCTGATGAAATTCCATTTTGGGTATGGAAAGAAAACGCTGATGTATTTGCACCTGTTATGACCAAGATTTGGAATAAATCTCTCTCTACATCCACATGCCCCACCTCTTGGAAAATTGCTCATGTAAACCCACTACCAAAAGTTGAGAATTCAAAGGAATATTGTGAATTTAGAGGTATAAACGTCACACCTGTGATTAGACGATGTTTCGAAAGAACGGTTTATCATTATCATAGTAAAAGATCTTTCGAGGCCGAGTTATCATCTTCCCAGTTTGCTTATCGAATCGGTGGGTATAGCACAGACGCCTTAATTAAATTACAGTATATGTACCTGAAAGAACTAGAAGAACCAAATTGTGATGCAGTGAGATTAATTGCAATGGATTTTTCTAAAGCATTTGACAATGTAAAACACGCAAAACTGAGTGAAAAATTGAAATCGAGTTCTATGAACCCTTATTTAGTAAATTGGTTCTTAAATTTCTTAAAAGATCGAAGACAGAAAATAGTTTTCCAAGGAACGACATGCAAGTGGAAAGATATTAACAAGGGAGTTATGCAAGGAACTGTAACCGGACCACCACATTTCTTTAATTTATTTATTAATGATTTGGAGATTAAAAACTGTTCCAACACCCCCCTTGTTAAATTCGCGGATGATTCCTCACTTTTGGTACCGATTTTGAAGAATACCCAAGATTGTAGTTCTAAAGCCATAGACGAATTTAAGGACTGGTCCGAATCAAACTCTTTACCTTTAAATGAGGGTAAATGTAAAGAAATGATTATATTAAAGAAAGGACGATCAGAGGATTGTGTATCACCAATTTATGGTTTTGCGGCACTCTAGTCTTGAAATACTGGGGCTAACCTTTGAAATGACAAGCAGATTTGAGAAATGTGTTAAGAAAAAGTTGGTGAAAGCAAATAAATGCGTGTTTGTAATTCGAAAGCTGAGGAATGAAGGATATAGTCAAGACGAATTAGATCGTCTTTTTAGGTCACTGGTCCTGTCACAACTTACCTATGGCTTATCAGTAATTGCTACATCACCACCAGAATTAACAACTATTCAAAACTTCTTAACTCGTTGTTATAAAAGAAGATACACATCAGAACAAATAGATATTAATATACTGTTAGAGCAGACAGATAGAAAGCTGTTTGAAAAGCTGTGTAAACAAAACAATCATCCGTAAAGAGAAATCTGTCCAAAAATTAAAGAATATACAGTAAAACTTAGAACACGAGAGGCACAGTGGCCAAACATTTCTACCGAGCGTTTTAAAAATAGTTTCATCAATAGATGTATTTTTAGATATAATTTAGCTTTGCAACTCTAATATAACCTAAACATTTTTTAATGTGAAAAACTTGTAATATATTTTAAAATAATTGATTTGTAACACTTGATATGTAATTTATCAATTGATTAATAATAATAATAATAATAATAGATCAAAATTTAGTCTATAATGCAAATGGTCCATTCACACTTGGCTAAATTTTCAGTCAATTTCAAAACGGCAATTTCTTGCACGGCAACTTAACCTACCTTTGCCTTAATCCGAACCTAATTGCAACAAAGGTACGCCAAATCTCAAGACAATCCTGACTCTAATGATTGTAACATTAGTCTAATGATAATCCTTACGGCTTACCGTACCCTAATCCTAAACGGAAACCCAATTAATTCTAACCCTAAACTTTTCATCTAATCACTAAATTAATCACAAACTAACCATACCCAAAACCAACGTCCTAACCTAATCTTATCCTAAACCAAATCTAATCCTCACCTTAAGCCTAATCTAATCCTAAGTCTGATTCAATGCTAACCCTAATCTTATCCTAAACCTTTGAAGCCTAATTTATTCTTTACCCTAATAGCTGAATTCAGATTAGAAGACGGATTTCCGTCTAAGACGGGAAACTCGTCTCGGACGAGAAACTCGTCTTGATATAAATTCGGTTAACGACGACTTTTCCGTCTCAACTTTCCGTCTAACTTTCCCGTCTGAACGACGGGAAAGTTAGACGAGTTTCTTTCTGTACAAACCCAGCGACTATGAAGGAGTTGTTTACGTTGAAACAAACCGAGTCTACCCCTATCGTCACCGCCATATTGAAGGCTATTGTAACCAGGTTCCTAAAGGTCACATACGTGTGGGGTTATGGATAAGCAAGTGTGAGAGTGGTAGTCTCGGAGATGGTATAACTGGCTGGAATTCCATGTCTCGCATTGTGATTGAAGAAGTACCACCTCAACCTTAATATAATTAAAGAATCCAGAGTATTATTCATATCATACTATATAACCAAATTATACAACTACATAAGTTTTACAAAAGATACTTAGACAAAAATTCGTTTGTTAAAATTTAAGATAAAAAAAAATAATTTTTTTAACGTTTCCTTAAAGGTGATCTACAGTCCGTATGTAAACAAAGCCTTTGTTTACATTTTTGTGTCCAAAATATTGAGCTTTATTCGATAACTATTTATATTTATTTTTATTTATATTCTAGAGTATAATAAATGATCAAGAAACAACAATCAGGCTTTTCAAAAACTCAAAACATAGTTAAACTGTTTGTATCATAATAAGTGGGCTCATACGTGCACATGCGCAGATCGGACTGTAGATCACCTTTAAAATGTGATAAAAAAAGAAAATTTCAAATAATTCAATGGAGTGTTCAATCGAAGAATCGTGGTTTTAGATGAGAGGCCATGCTTGCGTCACGTCCAAATTAAACCGCACGGAAAAATTTTGATTTTCAAGGTAAGTATCTCACCAGCATACTTTTTTCTTTGGTGTTCTCCTCCTTACTAAAGTCTTGGGGCCGGTTCTATAAAATCCAAAATAGAAGGAAATACGAAGGAAATTTCGAATTAAGAATGGAAAATTAAGTTGATTTCATGTTTACAGATGTATGACCTGTAATATGGAGCTTTGTTATGTTGATGAAAGTCTTTAGAAAGGGTTGCACTGCTTTGGTTTATTTTGCGTACTGGTCTAACAATTTGGTTGAAGAAGACTGAGGTCATGCATCAGCCAGCACCAGTGCTGTAAAAGTTACTCATTTTTTGGAACTATAGTTACAGTTACATTCCCAAAAAAAGAACTAGTTACTGTTAAAAGTTACACTTAAAAAAATGTAACTAGTTGCCGTTACAAAATTACTTCGATATTTTTGTAACTAGTTACAAGTTACTTAGAAATTTTTGTAACTTTATCAAGAAAGAAAAAACCCAGTTTTTTCAACTTAATGTTTAGTGGTCAGCAGATTGACGTTAATTACTTGTAAACGTTATGTAACCTTACCATTAATGGATCTCTCAGCTGTGTTAGTATAGGTAATCATGCGATGTTGCTCGTACAATTAGGGATTAATAGTACGAGTGATGTTTGGAAATTTTGCCTAAATTGGACGAGCCGCTTGGGCGAGTAAAAACTTTGCTCATCCACCCATTGACAGGTCAAATAAAATTTTACCCAACTTCAAATATCAATTGAAAAATAAATACGCGCCCCTGCCCAAAAAGAATACCATTCAGTTGTCATGCATATCCTTTCCACTGCTTCTGTGACATGAGTTTGATAACTATTGTGCAATTTTCTGCAGAGTTTCACGTTGTCTGCACATGTACTTCCTTGGAAACACCATTTGCCTCCTGACAAATCGAGAAATGATCAAGATAGTGACTCTGATTGATTAATTGATTGACTTACATATTGTATTGGCATAGGTCTGTTGATATCGCCTTTTAGCCATAACTAATGGACTGGTCCCTTAGCTTTACAGCCTGCACGTGGCCAGATTGTTTGTGTGTGACTCGTGGTTCTGGGTACAATGGTGGTTCAAAACATTAAGAATTTTCAAGTACAGAGCAGAACCCAGCAAATAACTTTAAACTAAGATTTCCGCCTGGTGTATCAATTGCCACCATTTTTAAGTAACTATGTGTGTTCAATATCGGTGACTATGACAACGCATTTCTAATTAGGAATATGAACTAGCACTGTCTATTCACAGACTTTTGCAGTGATTTACTTTTATTGTAGTTAAATATTTAATATCTTGCCCTGGCCTTGGAATGAGTTTGCTTACGCTGTTTATTGCATTTAATTTGTCAGCCAATTAACGAAAGGGAGAAATCCTGGCCATCAAGGTCAGACCAATAGGCTTTGAAATATAAACACAGCTTAAAGAGTTCAAAACTAGCCAAATACTCAATGCCCGCCAATGTTAGCAACCTTTCATCTTTCATCATGTTAACCTATGGAAACCTTCAATAAAAATCAACACAAGTTGATGAACTATACGAAGTTGGAAATCTGCTTGCTTGTTTCACTCAAAATACAAAACCCATCTTTCAAACAATATCCTATATGTGCCAACAAAGATAAGATTTTCATGGAGAAGATCTTTTTTCCTCAAACAATCAGTGTTTTCTTTTGTAACAACTAAACAGAAATGCCTGTTGACTAAATTTGAAAATCGCAACCCTCATTATGACGACAATAGTCTATGATTAAGCTTAAAATATGTTTCTGAAAACTAAGGAATATTAGCAATCAGCAGCTTTTTGCTAAAAAGGGAAGTCAATAAGTTTTCCCAAACATTCTGTACAGCAAATACAAAAAACATATTGAAAGAAATACCAAATTATCTCGAACAAAAAAAACAGTAGAGAAAATATATAGAATATAATGTAATCTGAGTTGGAACTTGCAAAATTGGACCATTTATAATCTGAATTAAAGCTTACAGAAAACAGATTAATTCCAGAAGCTGTCAATAATGAACACAACGTTTTCCGATAAAAGTTAAAGTTAATGTTTCCATGAACGTTAGTTTAGCAGTTAGTTTTTGGCTAAATGGGTAAATGAACCGAGTCAAACATTCTTTCTATATGCCACATGGCAAGAGCTGCCGATAAGTTAAGAGAAATATCAAATTTTCTTGCATACGAAAGCATATGAGGGAAAAATATTTAGGGTGTGGTGTAATACGAGTGGTTGAAATGGGAGAGTTTAAAATATTGTGCAAAGGCTCGCAGTAGGATCAGTTGTAGTTGAGCTTCGTCAGGAAAGTTGGAAAGATTTCGACGGAGTCTAAGTTCTGACACAAGCGTTCCTGGTTAGGTATTATCCACCAAACCAAGCATTCAAACGCAATATCTACTCACACATTTTAGCAGTGATTACACGCTTAAATTTTGGCAGTGATTACAGATTTTAACGGCTTAAAACATTGTCTTAAGCCGTTTTTACATTTGAAGCCTTAACCAGCCTCATACCCAGGCTCTTCTCCCTGGCTGCAAGGTTTGGTTTAACCTGGCCTTTGGAAGACCTTGGCATGAATTTGCTTACGCTGTTTGCTTGATTTAATTTGTCAGCCAACCAACCAACGAAAGCAAGAAATCCTGGCCAAGGTCAGGCTAATAGGCTTTGAACTATAAACACAGCTTAAAGTGTTCAAAAATAGCCAAACACTCACTTTCATCTTTCATTTAAAACCCACACAAGTTGATGAACTATACGAAGTTGAAAATCTGCTTGCTAGTTTTACTCTAAATACAAAACCCATCTCTCAAACAATATCCTACATGTGCTAACAAAGATACGATTTCTATGGAGATGATAGTTTTTTCCTCAAACAATCAGTGCCTTCTTTTGAAATAACAAACAGAATACTTGTTGACTTAATATATAAAATACTAGCTCTCATTATGACGACAACAGTTTGATGATTAAGCTTAAAATATGTTTCTGAAAACTGAGGTTTAATAATCTGTTTTTTACTAAAAGGGGAAGCCAACAAGTTTCCCCCAAAATTCTATAAAGCAAGTACAAAAAACAAATTGAGTGAAATACCATATTATCTTGAACAAGAAAACAGTGGGGAAAACATAATTATGGACATAATGTAATCCGAGCTGGAATTTGGAAAATTGGACGGATTATTCTGAATTAAAGTTTACAGAAAACAGATTAATTCCAGAACCGGCTGCCAATAATGACCACAATGTTTGCCGATAAAAGTTAAAGTTAATGTTTCCATGAACGTTAGTTTAGCAATTAGTTTTTGGCTAACTGGGTGAGTGAACCGAGTCAAACTATGGCAAGAGCTGCTGATAAGTTAAGAGAAATATCAAATTTTCTTGCATACGAAAACATATGAGGGTAAAATATTTAGGGTGTGGTGTAATACGAGTGGTTGAAATGGGAGAGTTTAAAATTTTGTGCAAAGGCTCGCAGTAGGATCAGTTGTAGTTGAGCTTCGTCAGGAAAGTTGGAAAGATTACGACGGAGTCTAAGTTCAGACACAAGTGTTCCTGGTTAGGTATTAAATAGTGTGTATATATATGGGTAAAGCTTGGTAAAGCTTCAAATGTAAAAACGGCTTAAGACAACGTTTTAAGCCGTTAAAATCTGTAATCACTGCCAAAATTTAAGCGTGTAATCACTGCTAAAATTTGTGAATAGATACTGTGTTTGAATGCTGGGTTTGGTGGAGGTTTGGTTTAACCTGGCCTTTGGAAGACCTTGGCATGCATTTGCTTACGCTGTTTGCTTGATTTAATTTGTCAGCCAACCAAGAAAAGCGAGATATCCTGGCCAAGGTCAGACTAATAGGCTTTGAACTATAAACACAGCTTAAATGTTCAAAAATAGCCAAACACTCAATGCCCACCTCTGTTAGCAACCTTTCATCTTTCATCATGTTAACTTGTGGAAACCTTCAGTAAAAATCAACAAGTTGATGAACTATACGAAGTTGAAAATATGCTTGCCTGTTTTACTCTAAATACAAAACCCATCTCTCAAACAATATCCTATATGTGCTAGCAAAGATAAGATTTCTATGGAGAAGATCTTTTTTCTTCAAACAATCAGTGCCTTCTTTTGAAATAACTAAACAGAATACTTGTTGACTTAATATATAAAATACTAGCTCCCATTATGACGACAACAGTTTATGATTAAGCTTAAAATATGTTTCTGAAACCTGAGGTTTAATACTCTGTTTTTTACTAAAAGGGGAAGCCAACAAGTTTCCCCAAACATTCTATAGCAACAAGTACAAAAACAAATTGACAGAAATACCAATTTATCTTGAACAAGAAAACATTAGTAGGGAAAACATAATTATGGACATAATGTAATCCGAGTTGGAATTTGGAAAATTGGACGGATTATTCTGAATTAAAGTTTACACAAAACAGATTAATTCCAGAAGCTGTCAATAATGACCACAATGTTTTCCGATAGTTTAGCAATTAACTTTTGGCTAAATGGGTAAATGAACCGGTCAAACATTCATTCTATATGCCATATGGCAAGAGCTGCCGATAAGTTAAGAGAAATATCAAATTTTCTTGTATACGAAAACATATGAGGTTAAAATATTTAGGGTGTGGTGTAATACGAGTGGTTGAAATGGGAGAGTTTAAAATATTGTGCAAAGGCTGGCAGTAGGATCAACTGTAGTTGAGCTTCGTCAGGAAAGTTGGAAATATTACGACGGAGTGTAAGTTCTGACACAAGCGTTCCTGGTTAGGTCTTAAATAGTGTGTGTATATATGCTCACTTGGATTATCCACCAAACCCAGCATTCAAACACAATATCTATTCACAAATTTTAGCAGTTGTTACACGCTTAAATTTTGGTAGTGGTTACAGAATTTAACGGCTTAAAACATTGTCTTAAGGTTACAGAACACCCTTTTTGGCATTTTGTGGAAAATCGCTAGTGCGCGCTCAAAATCAGTCCGATTTTCATCAAATTTTCACCTAATGTTATTATAGCAAATGCATGCGAAATATCATGATAAAGTTGTAAAATTGACAAACAATAAAATAATGTAAGAGTTATTCTGGAAAATCTTAAGTCGCGGTATCTTTACGCTTTTGACTTATGTTCCTACTGGTTTTAAGATATATTTATTAAAATATCATTTAATATTTATTCAGTAAAATAGTTGTTCTAAAAAATTGTGTTCAGAAATTTTTGTTTATTTCGTAATTCCGCTGATATGGCGATTTGTTTGACGACTGCAATATATTTCTGAATCGTTTTTGTGAATTGCTCCTTATTATTAAAATATCGAAAATTAGAACAAAGCCGAATACAATTTTGAAACTGACGTGTTTAGCTATGTCCTGTGAAAATTTGAGAAAAATTCGTTAAAACGCGCAGAAACACAACTCGTCTAAAAATCAGTAATTTCCGTAAAATTCTTCGGGAGAAAATTGAATTTGAATATTACATTTTCAATGTTTTTCTTATTGCAAGCGAAATGTATTTTATTAAATAACTCTGCGAGTTTTCAATATTTTTCGTCCAAACTTGGTCAGATAGTAGAACTAGTCTATATAATGCTTTCATGGAAACCAATAAAAAAATTTTAGGCAAAATTAACACTCAAAGGTGTTCTGTAACCTTCAGCCGTTTTTACATTTGAAGCCTTAACCCAGCCTCATACCCAGGCTCTTCTCCCTGGTTACGAGGTTTAGCTTAACCTGGCCTTTGGAAGACCTTGGCATGAATTTGCTTACGCTGTTTGCTTGATTTAATTTGTCAGTCAACCAAAAAAAGCCAGAAATCCTGGCCAAGGTCAGGCTTATAGGCTTTGAACTATAAACACAGCTTAAAGTGTTCAAAAATAGCCACAAACACTCAATGCCCACCTCTGTTAGGAACCTTTCATCTTTCATCATGTTAACTTATGGAAACCTTCAGTAAAAATCAACACAAGTTGATGAACTATACGAAGTTCAAAATCTGCTTGCTAGTTTTATTCGAAATACAAAACCCATCTCTCAAACAATATCCTATAGCCTATGTGCTAACAAAGATAAGATTTCTATGGAGATGATATTTTGTCCTCAAGCAATCAGTCATGCAATCATGACGACAACAGTTTATGATTAAGCTTAAAATATGTTTCTGAAAACTGAGGTTTAATAATCTGTTTTTTTACTAAAAGTGGAAGCTAACAAGTTTCCCCAAACATTCTATGCAACAAATACAAAAAACGAATTGAGAGAAATGACAAATTATCTTGAACAAGAAAACAATAGGGAAACATATAGACATAATGTAATCCGAGTTGGAATTTGGAAAATTGGACGGATTATTCTGCATTAAAGTTTACAGAAAACAGATTAATTCCAGAACCGGCTGTCAATAATGACAATCGATAAACGTTAAAGCTAATGTTTCCATGAACGTTAGTTTAGAATTAGTTTTTGGCTAAATGGGTAAATGAACCGAGTCAAACATTCATTCTATATGGAAAGAGCTACTGATAAGTATAGGTTATTTTGAGGCAACGAGGGGATATGTGATTTATTCACCGAGGCCCGCAGCGCCGAGGTGAATAAACACATATCCCCGAGGTGCCTCAAAATAACGTACTTATTTTTCACACTGCGAGGTCGCGTTAATGAGTCAGAATAGAAATAATTCTTAACGCCATATTGCCTTCGTTATATTGTTTTTTTTTCATTTTTTGTGCTGCAAAGACATTGCAGGTGAATATTAGAGGGGATTATTAATTGCAGGTGAATATCAGAGGGGATTATTAAACGGAAATTGATTAGAGGGGAATATTGAATATATTCCCCGCTAAGAACAAAGGAAACCGAGCAGGGTGAAAAATAAGTTAAGAAAAATCTCAAATTTTCGTGCATCAGAAAACACGAGGTAGGGTGAAATATGTAGGGCGTGGTGTAACACGAGTGGTTATAATGCGAGAGATTAAAATATTGTGCAAAGGCTCGCAGTAGGATCAGTTGTAGTTGAGCTTCGTCATGAAATTTGGAAAGATTTTTTAAGATAATAATAATAATAAAAAGTCTAATAATGGAGTCTAAGTTTGTGATTTTCTTGCTGTTTGTCTTTATGGCTGACATGACTTCGGTCGTCAACAGTCAGAAGAGAACTACGGTGAGTTTGTCGTGTTATGATATCTAGGCACGGGGGTTTATGTATGTATACATTTAATAATAAACTTAACTTAACCTTTTCATACTGGATAGCTATATCAGTTCCAATTAAACTGTCCGCTAGTGAAACTTGCTGATAAAAGCAGTCATTTATTGTTGAGAGCTGTCGTACGTTTATTCTTGGCATTTTGTTTTTGCTGGCTTAACATGTATTCAAAACAAACAAGAAATGATTTTATTATGCACTAAAGTCAAACTTTAGTCAATTCATGCCTGGATTTTAGGGCGTTTTAACTCCACGATCTCATTTCTGATGGAGTACACGCATTTGCACACTATATTCACTCGTTTAACTTAAGCGCCGCGGTGCTCTTTAAATTTTCAGTGTTACATGATGCGGCGCTTATTTGAGGGAGGCGCTTGTTCGAGTGCGACGCTCTTTATGAGCGTATATCCACACCAAGGAAGCTCGAAAAATATGCCTGGCCACGATGATGGCCACGGTGGTGTCAGCGTAACATCACAAGCATCATAATCACCTGAGTACATTACACCAACACAGAAAAAATTAGAAAGACTTGTTTACAGCTCTTTCATGAAGCAGTGGTTTGCGTCATTATACCATTTAAATATCTTTACAAAATATGTTCGTCTTTTCAGGCGACCTGTGGTTCTCCAGGTATCCCTGGTATTCCTGGAAATCCCGGAAAAAATGGCATGCCTGGGTCACGTGGTTCTGCTGGCGCGAAAGGGGAGCCTGGGGAGAGGGGAACTTGTGGTTCTCCAGGTATTCCTGGCGTTCCAGGAAATTCCGGAAGAGATGGCATGCCTGGGTCAAGTGGTCCTGTTGGAGCGAAAGGGGAGCCTGGGGAGAGAGAAAGTGATGACGTAGATCTGGTGAAGTCAAATTGGAAACAGTGTGCTTGGAACAGACAGGATGGCAAAGACACTGGCTTGATACAGGTTTAAGAAATTAAGGGCTGTTCGAGCGCGTTTTTAAAAAGAGGAACCGCAGGCGAGCCTTATTAAAGGGGCAGTGTCACCGATTTTGACCCTCGCAAATCTTTAGGAATCTTGCATAAAACCCAAAAAGAACGGTTGTAAGCACAACATAAAACAATAACAAATACAAAAAGCATGTACAGAAGTCTGGATGGTTGAGATTAGGCGAGGATTGAGATGCATGGATTATAACTACTGACATATTGATTAATTGTTGGCGGACACTTTTTCAAATTTAGGTCAATTCGTATGAAAACGTCGTCTTTCATGCTGTGTGGAAGTTCAAAGTTGTTTAATATAATTCGTATATCATAACTGAGCCTTTTTAAAATGTTTATTTTCAAATTCGCAGATCAGACTTTGAATAAAAAACAATTAGGGTTAAAAACTGTGACACTGCCCCTTTAATTTACAGGGATTTTGAAATCCTTGTAAGACCAAAATCGAGTATTTGAACTGAATTTCTTCAAACGTTGTAACAGACCTTTCTTGTAATTACATTGCAACTGACGCTGTTTTTAACTTAGCACCTCGTTAAATGGAATGAACTTTAAGTCTGTTTGTTTGGCCATGGCCCTCAGCCTCGTTTTCGTCTTTAAGCTTATTTCTACATTTAATAGTCAAAATCCAAAATTCGTTTTTATGCATGTGTTGACGAAGGATGTTCTGCGTCTCTGACTATAGCCGGTGAGAAACAAACTTGAAATCTATTCCATTCAAGGTGCTGCTAACTTGAAAACAGTGAAGTTGTGACGTAATTACCGGAAAGATCTTTTACATAGTGTTATTTAAAATCTGATTTTAAAACTCTGGTACTTTAGTGTCCTGTAGGACATCTTCCTTTAGTTTCTGCTGTGAATTCATGAGTTTGAGAAAACATTCTTACAAACTACTTTGGTAGCAAAGTTTAAATGTTTAGTTCAAACTTGGCTAAGTTTCCGGCCAATTTCAAAACGGTGAATTCTTAGCCTGCATACATTTTAATCATTACCTAATCCTATGGACTAGGTTTATCTTTAGATTTGGCCTGACTTTGTTGGGATTAGACTTGGATTAGGGCAATGGTTAATCCCAAACTAACTATACTCGAAACCAACGTCCCAACCTTAAGCTAACTCTAGTAATCCTAACCCCAATCTAATCCTAACTCTGAACTAATCTAATCTTTAACGTAAGCTTAGTTAATGAGTTTGAGAAGATATTCTTAAAACCCTTACATAACCCTAATCTAATGCTAACATTAATCTGATCTTTATCTTCAACGTAATCTATCCTAACCTTTTGAAGCCTAATCTAATCCTTACGCCAATCTAATCCTAACCCTAATCCAATTGTAAGCCTAATCCATACCATAAGCCTAGTCTAATCCTTACCGTAAACCTAATCTAATCATAACCCTTTGAAGCTTGATCTAATTCTTACCCTAAACCTAATCTTAACCTTATCTAATTACCCTTTGTGTGTTATGTTCATATAGAACTGTATTTTCAACAAGACATATAACAACACCTCACTCCGTGTGTTCTTCGAAGGAAACCTACGTACTTACGGCAGTGGTGCTTGCAATCGATGGTATTTTACATTTGATGGTGCAGAATGTACAAAACCAGCGACTATTGAAGGAGTTGTTTACGTTAAATCGACCCAAGTCAACCCCCTTCGTCACCGCCATATTGAAGGCTACTGTAATCAGGTTCCTAAAGGTCACATACGTGTGGGATTCTGGATAGGCAAGTGTGTGAGTGGTCATGGTCTCGGAGATGGTCATACTGGTTGGCATTCCATGTCTCGTATTGTGATTGAAGAAGTTCCACCTCCTCAAGTCTAATATCATTCAAGAACAAAGAATATTATTCATATCATACTATATAACCAAATTATACAAGTATATGGAGAATAAACTGAAGTTATTGTCAGTTATATTTCCCTAATTGTCAGTATTGTGTTTGATGTTCATACTACTCAAATGTATTCTACTCAAATGTATCACAAAAAAATTGCCATTGCTCAAACTCAAGATTAAATAAAATACTTTCTCCAGCATTACATTATAGTGTGCATGGGATAATAAATAGCGAGTTTTAATTGATTCACTGGAGAGTTCAATTAAAGGGTAATGATTACAGAAAGTCATGCCTGTCTATCGCCCGAACCACGCTTGGTCTTTCCAACGACCACTTAATCAGCAGAGTGAATTAGGTTCCCTAAACCAACTAGTACTATTGTTTCGGTTGAAGAAAACACAGAACAAAAGCAACTAAGCATTCGAATCAGTTAATATGTATACGAGTTATTCGCCCATTTATTGAACATGTTCTTTTCTGTACTTTCATAAACCGAAACAATAGTAACAAGGCATGTGAGGCATTTCAAGTTTTGAACTGGGTATAAACAAGTGTTATTCAAAGTTGTATATTCAGAATTCTTGTAGTCAGACGTTCAACCTTTGCGTGATAAATACTTAGTGCCTGCTAATTTAAGCCATACTTTTATCTTTAAGCATGTTAAACCTATCAAAATATTCGAGTACCTTCAATAAACACTGACACAAAACTTATCATAATATCAACTATACGAAGATCAACTGAAATTCTGCGTGCTAGTACGTTTTGTCATACTGAAAAACGGAAACCTATTTTCTCTAACAATACCTTATGTGCCAACATAGATTTCCATGGAAAAGATTTTTTTCTCAAAGAATCAGCGTTTTCTTTTGCAATAACTAAACAGAAATACTACTTGACTTCATCCCCGAGCCGACGGCGCGAAGCGCCGTGCGAGGGTACTAATTCCCCCCCCCCTCCCCCCGGCTATTTACACCCGGGGAAACGAAAGCATTAGCGAAGTCTAAAGTTCATCAAATATCGCGGGCGTGGGTCACCAACCATGGGTGGTCATCCCGCTGGGTCATCCTCACTGATCTCAAGAATATGGCGGACTGTCATGAATAGCAAACACTGTGATTGGTCCAATTTAAAGTTTGCATTATAACGACTGCATGACGACAGCGAAATAGCAAACATTTCTTTATTTGATGATTGATCGATAAATTTCTTGCAAATATATTTCATTTTTGCTCGCATTTTTGCAAGATTTTGTAAATTTCAAGAAAGAAATGGCGAAAGAATCGACTAAAAGAAGGGAGCCGACGTTATGCTAGAATTTGAAATCATTTTATTGCAAACTCAAAGTTTATCGATAAAGCCATTTAATTAAAGAACAAGACGCTCTGTTGAGCGTTTAGTCGCTGGGGCTATTAAAATAAGGTCTTCTGCACAGGGCTTCTGCGCTTATTGCTCTCTCTTCTGAGAGCAGTGTATAAGCGCAGAAGCCCTGGGTACGAGGTTGATATCATATATTGGATTTATCTGGCTTAGGCCAACTTCGAGGACACTGGAAACCAGGCTTAAACAAATTTATTGCAACTCCACATTTTGACCCTTCAACTCATTTTCTCAAAAAAATTAATGTCCCCCCCCCCCTTCTAGTAAATTATTTATACTCCTGGGGTCATGGCCCCACCTTTTGCCCCCCCCCCACCCCTCCCATAAATAAGGACTGGTCCCTAACTGCAGGGAAAATATGTGCACTTCACAGAACATTTATAACAATTCATAATTTATTACTTTTGCCTCAGGCTGGGTAACCACAACAGAAGTTGCCAAATAGGCCCTTTCAAGGTAGCTTGCGTGTCAGGCTCGATGCTTGAAATAGAGCCTGTTATACCCTGTGAGCAAAGTCCTCTCGGATTTCTTCTCGGCACGGCACGGAGAAGCGAGAGAGACTCTGCAGAACTTGTGTATAAATTCATTTGAGCATGTGTGAAGGTTGCTAAGCAACTGCCTATTTCCCGGAAGAAGATTTAATAAGTAGTTTCCGGTTCGGATCAAAACCGGTTATAAAACTGGTATCAAACCTGAAATTACTCATAATTATAAGTTTTTGGATTGTCGGCTCCACAAAGAATATATACAAGTTCTGCAGAGTCTCTCTCGTGCTGAGAAGAAATACATGAGGACTTTGCTCGCAGGGTAAGCCTGTTACTGAAGTCAATAAAAAGTGGACAGTGATTGGGATGCACAAAAATAACAACCAATCAAAATGGCGATTGTTAATTATGTATCAGTCAATTCCAGCAGTGCCCCCCCCCTTCCCCGAGGTATTAGCCATTTCTGGGAAGAAAATGGCTATGCATGTCCACAAGCCATTTGCAATCAAATTAAATATCAGTTTCCCAGCAAATCTACCAAATCCCCCATGATAGAAAATGTCAAAATCCTCACCCCAGGGCTAAAAAATATCGGCAATAGCCCCACCCCCACCCCATTGTGTTTACACAACCTTGCAAATTTTAATACTAGTAGGAATTTCCATTGTGTTTGCAGCCCTTACACTTTGTGTTTCATTATGGCATCTTGACCTTGAAAGAGTCTATTACTGTGGCTCCAACATTTTCCCGTTCGGCGTTAGAAACACACTACATTGATCATAAAATGACTGGAATATTACAGATTTAAAAGCCTGACACCTAGCGGCAAAGTTTAAATTTCACACAAGTAGTGATGAATGATGATCACTGTGGTTGTATTTCGGTCTTGTTAGGCTACACCATGTTCTTTTGACCACCTATCCGTAACAGGATTATTTGCATCAACAGCCGTAAAAAAGCACCCAAATAAACAGCAGTTTGCGAATATTATTGTTGCGATTTACAAAGGTTGCGGCCCGTTGACCCCCGTTCCAACTTTGTAAAATTGAAAATTGTGAACTTTTGTCCTCTATTTCAAGCTTGTAGCCTTCCAAGTTTACTCACATAAAATGACTTTCGCTTTATAAAGTCCGTTTCATCGGAAACCTTTTAAGGTTCATCGGAAAAATAAAAAGAATATGTACAAAATCGATGATACCATTCGCTCGTAGTAAGCGGCCATCTTGAATTCAGCGACGAATAGTAATGACGTAATTTTTATTTTTTATTAATGACGTAATTGTCATTTTGTGGCTAACGATCCAAGATCCGACACAAATGCGTGCCGAAACCTAGAGTCGCTGCAGGCTCTGCCCAGCGACTAATAAAGGCAGTTTCAAACGTATATATAGCCTAGTCGTCGCTCTGTTTACAACGGCAAATCACAGATTTTTACGTCTTTTATACAACGCCTGCATTTCAAGCCGTCGCAAGTGCAACTTGAAATTCGGTTCAGTAGAACTCTTCCCAAACATAAAGCCAATGTTTTTAACTTCTTAAACTGTATTAAAATCATATGAATTATAATATACAACAAGTTTTCTTTACTATCATTTATTTGAAGGAATTTGTTTTGGCCGTCGTCGCCGCGTCCTACATGCTTAAGCTCGTTATTATTCTTGACACGGGGTGGTTTCTCCAAGATGTCGTAATCCAGGGGGAATAATGAAGCTTCAGGAACCTTTGTTAAATTAGGGGAGCGGTCAGAAACAAGATTTTATATTGCGCACGCATCTCCATGACCATGTGCTTCAAGAATAAAAAGATTATATGAGGCTATGCAATAACAAAGGTTAACAGCTAGGGAATCAAGCCTCATTACGTCAGCACCATCATGTGACCAAAAAGGGGGCCGGGCGAGTATGTAATAAGAGCTTGGCCGCGCATTGGTGGTATTAGTAATCATTGTGCGTTGAAAGCGTAGTAACCGTGACGTATGTCAATATATCGAAATCATTCTGCCGCATATCTTGTCCTAGCAAAGCGGGATCATATATAAACAGTCCCTTATTCAGCAAATTGCGCATACTGCCTTTCATTCCTTGGGGGTGAGGCAGCATTTTCCTTGCGACAGTAACTTCTAGTTAGTGGTCCCTCTGATGCTCTGATCAGATATTAGTCCCGCTTTATATGAAGATATTGTAATTAGGGAAAAATCGGTCCATGACTCATAAATGATAATGCCGTATGACAATGTGTCAGGTGCATCTGTTCCACAAGCAGGAGATCCAGCGACCAAATGGGGAAATAGATATGTTGATTGGTTATTAGTATGCAGGTTATGATCCTGAGCGGGAGCAATCTTCTGGGCATTTACTTCTGTTGAAAAACCGATTCGGTCGTTGTCTGGGTGGGTCTCATACCAATATGGCAGAGAACACGCTTAATTTAAGCTTATCCAGCATGCTACAGTACACCATGTTGCGAGGGTAAACATGGAAGATATTTTCGATACTAAATCTCTAGGCGTTGAATGTTCCCCGAGATGTGGGAGTTGTCGCTGTGGACGGTGCCCAATTGGTGGGAAAAGCTTCACATTGAAGGAGGAGCGGGAATTAAATTTGATCGAGGAAGGATTGACACATGAAGGCAATCATTGGGTTGCGCGATACCCTTGGATTAGGAGCCTGGATGATCTACCAAACAACAAAGAAGCAGCTTTGGGAATGCTTGGGTCTACAGAAAAAAGATTGCAGAAGAACAAACCGCTTCTGGAAACGTACGAGGAGCAGATTGAGGATATGGTACAGCGAGGTGTTGCAAGGAAACTCACACAAGCAGAAATTGAAAACTATGGCGGCCCAGTGTACTATCTAAGCCACCACGAGGTACTTAACCAGAATCCACATCCACGCCTTGTCGAATAGTCTTCAATTCGTCAGCGAGGTTTCAGGGACATTCACTAAATAACTACTAGGCTAATGGACCAGATCTTATGAACAACCTGCTCGGCATACTCGTGAGATTTAGAGAAGGCCCAGTCGCATTTGTCGGCGATATACGGAAGATGTACCACGCCATAAAGATATCAGTTCTCGATCAGCACACTCATAGATTTCTTTGGCGAGATGTGTCGCAGGATAGTGGGACAAGTACTTACGTCATGACTTCCGTATCGTTCGGTGACAAACCTGCAAGAAATGTCGCCACAGTTTCTCTACGCAAAACAGCGGAAATGCAAAGAGACGATCTTCCGAATGCATCGGATACCATCCTCAGCAACACTTACGTTGACGAAATTGCAGATAGCGTGGAGACTATGGTAACAGCACGAGAGACAACTGGTCAAATTGACGATTTGGTCAAGGTTGGTGGATTCCAAATCAAGCATTGGATCTATTCATCAGTGAATGTGAACGATGACAGCGCAAATAGATCACTGGGAAGCAAGTCCGTATGAGAGAAGCAGATACAAAATACAGCTGCATGCTCTGAAGGGGATGAACAGAAAGTTCTTGTTGTACGCTGGGATTCAAATGGGGACGAATTTTGTTTCAAAACGCAACTTAACTTTAGCCCAAAGATTAAGAAACTACGAATTGAACCAAATCTCACTGAAGAACAAGTTTCAGCGCTTATTCCTCCCATACTAACGAAGCGGATGGTGTTGTCGCAGATTAACGGAATATACGATCCACTTGGACTCGCAGCTCCATTCACCGTGAGGGCAAAGATACTTATGAGAAAATTGTGGATAGGAGAATCGAAAGACTTGACCTGGGACGATCCAATCCTTGCCTCGTTAAGAGAAGAGTGGTTGCGATTTTTCATTGAACTTTTCAACATGGAAAAGGTCAGGTTTAGAAGATGGGTGAAACCAGTCGGTGTTGTTGGCAACCCAGCCCTCGTGATGTTCAGTGATGGATCAGACCAAGCATACGGTACATGTGCGTATGTAAGATGGCAGCTTGAAAATTGGACTTTTGCTGCCAATCTTCTAGCAGCAAAGAGCAGGGTCACACCAATTCGAAAGACGACAATCGTTAGAACGGAGTTGAACGGAGCGTTGCTTTCGAAAGGCTCAGTGCTTTTATCAAAAAAGAATCTCGGCTCATCTTCGAGAAATAATATTTTTTCGTGGACTCGGAGATAGTTAGAGCAATGATTCAGAAAGATTCGTACGGATTCAACACATATGCAGCCGTGCGGATTGGCGAGATTCAAGAAGGAACTTCTCCAAGTGATAGGCATTGGATTGAAGGGAAACTCAACATAGCTGACTGGATAACGCGAGGGAAGAATACGAGCGAGCTTGACAAGAACAGTCTTTGGCAGACAGGGCCAGACTTTCTTTACCTGCACGAATCAGAATAGCCAATCAAGAAATTTGTATTACGGGATCACCTGCCTGAAGAGACCAAGGCGGCAATCATCATTGAAGTTGAGTCGAGAATCGCACTGTCTCATGCCATTGATATTCTACGATTCGTTTGCTTCGGGCAACTGCACGCACTACAAATGTTGGTAACAAGACCCCGAAACCATCGTTGAAGAATATCTTGCTGCACCATTCGAAGCGGAATGTATACAGAATGCAGCTGAGCTTCTTTGGATCAAAGAAGCGCAAAATTCATTGCAGCAACGCTTCGAGAAAGGAAAGTTTAGACTTTGCGCACGAAAGAGAGAAGATGGAATCATCGTAGTTGGTGGGAGAATCCCAAAGTCGTCTGAATCTATAGTTAAGATGTACAAAAATTGATCCTGATGCCGTTTGATCATCGAGTGTCTCGTTTGTAAGCGGAACGTGTCCACTGTAGAGGTCACAATGGAGTATCAGTCAATCAATCAATCAATCAATCAATCAATCAATCAATCAATCAATCAAATCAATCAAAACAATTTATTTATCCACGGTAAAATCTTCAGTTACAAAGTAATACAATACATACAGTACACGATACACATTTTAAATACGTACATGATAAAGATATTAACTGATTTACAAGATTGCCGTGTGGGAATCAGATTACGTTATCATAATATTTATTAATTGCCTTCTTAAACTGTGGTAACTTAAACTGTGGCATTTTCTTATATCTTGCGGGAGACTATTAAACAATAACAGCCCCACTATAACAAAAACGTTTTTGCATATAATCTGTCCGTGGCTTGGGGACATTTAATCTCATTTCAGAGTTTCTAACATTATACCCAATGCCACGAACAGAGAAAAGTTCCTGCAAATAAGTGGGAGCTTCCCGTTAAGAATTTTAGACATTAAGTTAGCCTTGAATTTTTTTCTTACGCAAATAGAGATTATCCCAGTGCAGCACATCAAAGAGCGCACTCACACTGGCATTATAACTCGCTTGCATAACAATCCTTGCTGCTCTATTCTGCAGCCTTTGTATTTTGGAACTTAGTATTTGACCGAGACCATCCCAGACCGAGTAACAATAGTCGAAATGTGGTTGTATCAACGCTCGGTATATATGAATGGCCGCGTCAGTTGTTACAATATATGGTCTAATAGCTTTAAAGCGCCAATTGCCGAAGCAATTTTCTTAGATATTTTCTTAATATGTGTTGACCAATTTAGATGTTTATCAATATATACCCCCAGAGATTTGACTGAAT